GTTGTTGTAACTCACCCTGGTAAATGATGGTATACAGCTGTCCTCACAGAAGCCGATGTAGGAAGTTACAGCCTCTGTGAACTCATCCAGACTGTCAGTAGCAGTCCTGAAACCATCCCAGTCTGTGCAGTCAAAGCACGCCCGAAGATCCTTCAACGCTGGTCCACTGGTCCACTTCTTGAATTCCCTCACCACAGGTTTGCAGAGCTTTAGTTTCTGCCTGTATGCAGGAATCAGATGGACCATGACGTGGTCAGAGTGTCCCAGTGCAGCACGAGGGACGGCGTGATAAGCCCTGCTTACTGTGGTGTAACAGTGATCCAGCGTGTTCTCCTCTCTGGTGGGGTATTTAATAAACTGTCTGTACTTAGGGAGTTTAGGGAGAGAACACATAGCAAACCGCTCTTGCAACCTGGCAACGTCCGCCCTCTGGCTCTCGGAGAGATGAGCCTCTCGAGGGAGCGAGGTATGATTACCTGCTTTTGGAACCTCCGGCCTCAGCTCCTCTCCTTCCGATACCGCAGAGACCAGAGAGACAGACTCCACCCCCCTCCAGGCTTTCAGGAGGTTCAGGTAGTATATCTGTGTATCTCCACCCCTTTCAGACCGCACCACCTCGTAGTCGACCATCAATTCGTATCACTTGGTCGTAGTGTTGTGGAATATTTCAATAAAAGCTCGGAAGAAGAGAATGATTTGTCTGATAAAACAGAGTCTTGATGGATGATCAAAGTTGCAAAAAGTCCATTTATTTCTTGCAAGCAGTAGGTAAAATACACAGGCACGTTTCACGGTGCTCTGTGGAAATGGCGTCCCCGAGCACTAAAGACGCTGAGTTTTTATACACATGTGGAGGACATTCTCCGTGCCAGTTACGAGAAGCTGCTAAGCAGGTTGAGATAAGAACCCAGGTGAAGCTGAGGGTAGCACACACACACACACAAGATACTCCTCAGTGGCCGGTGCAAATCATAATTAATTGACATGAAAGTAAAACTTGGATCCAGAACTTTCGTACAGAATAAGATATCAACCAAGGCCACGAAGAGGAGTCCTTTGTTTTGAAGCTTCTATGAGATCGAGTCAACCTCCCTTCATCCTCCCTTCTCAGGGCACAGCTGCAAACTAACATTTTGTATCATGCTGCTCTTTGCACATCGGGGTCAAATACAGGACACTTGAGACACGGCTTTAGCACAAGACAATGTTATAACATATTTTTACCATTACAGTAGGCTGAGCGTAGGGTATCGTCACGAGACTGTTCGAGTGGAAAATCTTCCATGGAGCAAAACTCGGGAGCCGGCAGAGTCTAAGTGAGGCTCCGCGGGTTCCCCCTCTCCGTCTGCAGTGTCGGACGACCCTGCGTCACCGCTGAGCACAGCGCACATCTCGCATAACCCTGTCGGTCGTGAGCGCACCCCGTAGCCCCCCCCCCATTAGCTTATCAAACCCCGGCCAATCTGTACCCAAAATGACGGGGTGCGTCAGGCGGGAGCTAACCGCGACCTTCATTCTATGCTTTTTCCCCTCATACCTAATTTCCACCGATACCACAGGATGCACATGAACATCCCCATGCACACACCGTATTCTCACCCGGTCTTCCTCCACCAATGCCCCCGGCTGAACCAGGCTCTGATGAATCATAGACTGCGTGCAGCCCGAATCCACCATCGCCTGGCGTATACCCCCTGGATTCTTACCGGAACGCGGTACGTCGCTCCCGGGCCGGGGGAGGGTGTTGGAACGACGGGAACCCGAATCACCTGCCCCACCTCCATCAGCGGACACTCTCTCCGAAGGTGTCCGGGCTGCCCGCACCTCCAACATTCCTGCCCCGGCGCTTGAGAACCCCTCTGTGGGTCGGGAAGGGCGCCGGTGTTCTCTGCGGTCGGTGAGTAGCGGGCCGGGAGGAACGATGTCCGTCGTGGGGTCGGCACGGGTCCCTCCGCCGGCTGCTGCTTCCCCCCTCCCCGTTGCGCTGGTCGGGCCGGGGTTGGCGTACCCCCCTGGTCCCGCTGTCTGCCGGGGTGCACCGCCAGGTGATCCTCCGCAAGGGTGATGGCAGCTTTGAGGGTCGGCGGGCGGTGGGATTTCACCCACGCTGCAGTCCGGGTCGGGAGCCCCTCCGCTCCCGCCCCGGACCCCGCCTCCGTTAGGCAGCAGCCATCTGCTCGCGGCGTCCTTGAGCCGCTGCCCGTACGCGAACGGCCGGTCCTCTGGCTCCAACCTAGTCTGCCGAAACCGGTGGTCCTCTGGCAGCTGCCCCAGCCTGTCGATGACTGCCCTACGCATAGTCACGTAGTCCCGCCGGGCCGCCGGTGGCAGCCCCATGGCCGCCGTCTGCACCTCCCCGGACAGGAGAGGCAAAAGCCGTACCGGCCACTCCTCCGCCGGACAGCCACACGCCTCCGCCATCGCCTCAAAGGCCTCCAAAAAGGACTGGGCGTCGTCCTCCGCCATCATACGATGGAGCGCCAGTCCGGCAAGCGCCGCGGGCCCAGGCGTCAGCCGCGCAGCGGCCGGTTGCGCCGCCAGTTGCTCCAGAGCCTGGGCCTGTCTCCCCACCTGGGCTTGGAGCGCCCCCAGGAACTGTCGGTTAGCCTCAGCCTGGTCGCGCTGGATGGCCGCCAGCTCGCCGATCATCCGTCCCAGCGCCAAGATCGGCTGTGCCGGTATCCCCTGCTGCCGCTCGTCGCCTTCCATCGTCGTCCCCCCGCTACGTTGGGCGCCACTGTCACGGTGCGGATTCTTGGGGGAGGGGACGTACAGAGTCGGCACGACACAGCGGATACAGATTCAACACGTTTTTATTGGTTTTCTTTATGCAGAATCTGCGAGCTCTCCCGGCGTCTTGCTCTCTCGCCGTCGACCTCCCACTCCCGCTCTCCGCTACTGCATTTTAAAACCACAATACAAACAGTTAGTGTGCAATCAGCTCAGCTGAGGCCAATTGCCTCCACCTGGCACCGTTCCCTGAGCCACTCCCTTCTCCGTCCCCTCTGCAGCCGAGCCAAACCACGCCCGCCACCACAAACACCGACCACGATGAATGAAGCGAACTCACGGGGGGAATAAAATGGTTTGCAGTTGATGAAGAAAGTTCCCATGTAGGGAGAGGTATGGGTATGGCACTATATGCAGATGATGGGGCTTTGTGGAAGAGAGGTAAGAATGAGAAGTTTGTAATGAAGAAGATAGACTATGGGTGTTTTATTTATGGAGCTGCGGCCAAGACGGTGATACAGCGATTGGACAGGGTGCAATCACGAGCACTGAGGCTGTGTGTGGGGGCTATCAGGACCACTCCAGTAGTGGTGTTGCAGGTGGATACAGGGGAATTGCCACTGAGCTTGAGGAGGGACAAGTTGGCGCTGGCGTATTGGGGCAGGCTGAAGGGGTGTGCTGAAAGCCACACGGCGCACGGTGGCAACTAGGGAGTGTTGGGAGAGGGACAAGAGTAGTTTGAGGATGTATGGGTGGACAATAGGGCAGAAAGTGATAGAGTATGGCTTTGAAGGGGATAGAGATAGGGCCAGCGATTGCATTGGGGCCCATCCCTCCGTGGATGTTCCCGATGCCAAGAGTGGATGTAGGCATGATGGAGGAGAGGAGGGAGTGGGGCAAGGGGGACGTGAGTGTGTGTGTGGAGAAGTATGTCTGAAAACGGTTTTATGGTTTTGTAAGGGTGTACACTGATGGATCTAAGGTAGTGAATGGTGGTAGAGTGGGTGCAGGAGTGCATGTTCCTGAGTTCAGTATGAGTATCTGTAAAAGAGTCACTGATAATGTGTCGGTGTATACAGCAGAGATGGTGGCTATGATCATTGGGTTGAGATGGGTGGAGGATGTGACACCATGTAGGGTGCTGATATGTTCAGACTCAGCAGCAGTGTTAAGCAGTGTTATGGATGGTAGGTCTGACAGGGAAGACCTATTGGGAGAATTGATGGGGATATTGCTGGGGTTGGAGAGACAGGGAGTATAGGTGAGATTCTGCTGGGTTCCTGCGCATGCTGGAGTGGAGGGTAATGAGGTGGCTGACATGGTGGCAAAGAGTGCTGTAAGGAGGACTGAGGTGGATGTAAGGGTGTCGTTAGGGCGCAGGGAGGTTAAGTCGTTGATACGGGAAGCAGGGATTGCAGAGTGGGAGAGACAGTGGGGTGAAGGTGGTAAAGGGAGGCACTTCCGGGGTATAAATAGGTCAGTGAAGGAGGTTGGGGGAATGATGGGGTGCAGGAGGGAAGAGGTAGTGTGGAGTAGGTTAAGGTATGGGCACACAGGGTTGAATGGCACGCTGAGAGTGGTGGCAAAACATGACACAGGTTTGTGTGATAGATGTGAGGTGGTGGAAACAGTTGAGCATGTACTGTTTGTCTGTGGGAGGTATGATAAGGAGAGGGTGGTGTTGTATGGTAGTGTCAGGGAGACAAAGCGGGGCTGGGACTTAGGTGGGGTGCTTGGGGGTGGAAAAGGGAAGGAGGCAGTAATGAAGGCAGTATTTATTTTTCTTAGGAACACGGGGCTGTACAACAGGATATAGAAGGAAGGCCGTGACCGGCCTCACACTCCAGTGCAGTAGATGGCGGTATATGCACCTTTAAGATGGTGCGATCTGCCAGTAAACGAAAAAGAAGAAGAAGAAGAAGAAAGTTCCCAGATCAGGAGAACAGTGTTTTAGGATCACCGTTACGTCGTTGCACCAGCTGTTGTTGAAGTAAAAGCAGATTCCTCCACCCTTTGTCTTGCCGGAGAGCTCCGTGTCGCGGTCCGCTCGGAGGAGCTGGAAGCCCGCCAGCTGGAGCGCGGAGTCTGGTATCGATCCGCAGAGCCACGTCTCCGTGAAGCACAAAACGGAGGATGTAGAGAAGTCTCTGTCTCTCCTCACCAGCAGCTGAATTTCCTCCAGTTTGTTGCACAGTGAGCGCACGTTAGAGAGAAAGATGCCTGGCAGCGGTGTGCGAGAACCACGCTTGCGGAGTCTCACCAGCGAGCCGGCCCATTTTCCTCTCCTACGGCGTCTCACCACGTGACGAAAGGTGAGCGCACCTTTGACTATAATGTCCAGTAATAACAGCAGTAAAGCAGTTAGCAAGACTAAGACACGTTTTTATTTAGTTTACTTTTGGACAATTCATATTTCAATCTGTTGTCTTGTATATATTTTGTGCTTTGTCCCATATCGGTTATTGTTGACATATATGTGTTTGTTGTACTTTTTAATTCTGTCATAAACGTGGTCTAGTGCGCTTGCGCACATACTGTGGGTTATACGGTAGTTGATGTTATACCTGAAAAGGGAGACAGGTGATCCATTAAACCATGGTGGCTAACGAAGAAGCCTCTAATGCATTTATTTACAAATGCCATTTTAAATTAATCTCATAGCACATGGTTGTTTTTTAGCTGTACTTAGATGGGGTGTATACATTTACTTAACTTGCACTATAATGAATGAATATGTGGTGGTTATGATTTCTTGGCCTCCACTCATGTATTTTTTTGATCCTGGGTGCTGGCTGGCGCTCCTGTGTTCTCAGGCTGGGCGGGACGGGCGCTCTCCCACTACCCTCACCTGTGGCCAATCACCAATCGGGCACGAGTTATGGCCTGCTGTCTCCCAGGCCTCCTTGTCGGATCATTATCTCTTGACGACGCGACACGACGCGACTCGACTCGCCAGCATGCCTACGCAGCCTTTGCTCAGCATCCTCCAGGGCCGCCCAGTCACGGCCCTCTCCTCACGAGCCTCACGGGAAATAAGTATTTTCTTTTTGACCTCACAACTTTGTCTCCGGTTCTGCTTTTGGATCCAGTTCTCATCAGCCCTAACAGAATGATCCGATAGGGAAATATGGATCCAGCGAACCCAGACGCCCTCCAGGACGCCCTCAGCTCACAAGAAATCCTGATTGGTAAACATGATCAGCTATTGAATGGAATTATGGAAACCTTACACTCCCTTTCTGCTGCACTGGCTCAGTTGGCTCCCAGCTCCAGTACATCTCCACCAGTGAGTAACCCACCTGTCACCTTACCCTCAGTTTTTCCCACGGAACCCTGGGTTCCCACTCCAGAACCTTATGCTGGTGAACCAGGTTCATGCAGTATATTTTTGTTAATTGTACGTTAGTTTTTGATCTTCAGCCGACTAGTTACTCCACCGACAAAGCTAAGATAGTGTGTTAATTTTTTACGAGGTAAAGCGGCCCAGTGGGCCACTGCGTTGTGGACTAGCCACTCGGCAGTTTTGAGTTCTTTCCCTATTTTTTCAACGGAGCTAAGTAAAAAAAATTCTCACCCCGTTAAAGGGCAAGAGGCCATGAATCGGCTATTTTCGTTAAAACAAGGGTCTGGATCAGCAACGGACTTTTCCATTGAATTCTGGATTTTGGCTGCAGAATGTGGATGGAATGAGCCAGCACTAATGACCTTGTTCGCCAGGAATCTGTCTGAGGAGCTAAGGAACGAGCTGGCCTCTCGAGACGACTCTACCTCTCTCGAGCAATTGATTGCTTTAGCTATCAGGATAGACAATCGTCTCCGGGAACGGAGGAGAGAACGAGCCGAACGGACCGGTAACCCAGTTCCATCCGCAGGCCTCAGGTTTAGCGTCCCTACGCCCACCAGAGTCCCTGCCTCTCCATCTTGGAGTCCTGTCAGCCCTCTGCCCCCGACCTCCCTCTGAAGAACCCATGCAGCTTGGTCGAGCTCACCTATCCCCCTTAGAACGCCAGCGACGTATGCAACTAAGACTCTGCCTCTACTGTGGGCTCGCGGGCCATTATGCTGCCACCTGCCGGGCCCCGCCAAAAGATCTAGCTCATCAGTGACTGAGAGCACTCTGGTGAGCAACACCTCGTCGTCTCGCTCTCCCGTCCGGATGTCCTTTCCGGCTACGCTCCGGAGCAACACCCAGTCCTACCCCCTACACGTATTTATTGATTCGGGTTCAGATGACAATTTCATTGATGAGAACTTTGTCGCACAGAGAAACATCCCTCTTGAGCTCTTAGAAGTCCCCAAAAGTCAACGCACTGGATGGCCGTTTAATTTCCAAGGGTACACATCGCACTGTTCCCCTCTCTCTCACTATTTCTGGCAACCATAGTGAGACAATACAGTTGTATGTGATACCTTCCCCCCTGTCGCCAGCTGTCCTTGGCATACCCTGGCTTAAACTGCACAACCCCCTTCTCGACTGGAAAACATCATCCATTTCCAGCTGGAGTGTCTCGTGTCACGCTCACTGTCTCAGGTCCGCTGTCCCGGAACCCGTCAGGTTGCGTCGTCGCTGTCACCCCCAGATCTTTCCTCCATGCCACCTGAGTATCTGGATCTCGCCCTGGTGTTCAATAAGGACTTAGCACGCACCCTACCCCCCCACCGCCCGTATGACTGCGCCCTCGATCTTCTCCCTGGAGCCCCTCTCCCCACCAGCAGGCTGTTCAACTTGTCCCGTCCGGAGAGAGTGGCCATGGAGACATATATCAACGAGAGCCTGGCTGATGGTTTGATCCGTCCCTCCTCATCACCTCTGGGAGCGGGCTTCTTTTTCGTAGAAAAGAAGAATGCTTCCTTAAGCCCCTGTGTAGACTACCGGCGCTTAAATCATATCACTGTAAAGAACAAGACTCCCCTGCCACTCATCGACCCCTCTTTCGAGCCGTTGTGTCATGCCCAGATCTTTTCCAAGTTGGACCTCCTCACCTCCTCAGGATCAGAGAAGGGGATGAATGGAAAACAGCGTTCAACACATCCCTGGGTCAGTTTGAATACCTAGTCATGCCTTTTGGTCTCACCAATGCCCCCGCCGTTTTCTAGACCCTCATGAATGACCTCTTCCGGGATATGCTGAACCGCTTCGTTTAAATCTACTTCGATGACATCCTCATCTTTTCCTGGTCTCTCGGAGCATTGCCAGCATGTGAGGTTAGTTCTCCAGCGTCTGCTTCAGAATAGACCAGAGAAATGTGAGTTCCACGGCCCCTCCGTTAGCTTCCCTGGCTACATCATCGCTCAAGGTCAGCTGGAGCCAGACCCCGCCAAAATAAGAGCCGTCGCCGACTGGCCGCCTCCCAACAACCGCAAGGAACTACAACGTTTCCTCGGCTTTGCCAATTTCTACCGCAGCTTCATCAGGGATTACAGTAAAGTACCCGCCCCCCTTACCAGTCTTACCTCCACAAAGATCACCTTCAAATGGACCCCTGAGTCTGACCGCGCATTCTCCAAGCTCAAGTCTCTGTTCACGAGTGCTCCCATCCTTAAGCATCCCTACCCTTCCCTCCAGTTTGTGGTGGAGGTTGACGCCTCGGACACCGGAGTGGGAGCGGTGCTATCGCAACGAGATCCCCTCACTCAGAAGCTGCATCCTTGTGCCTTCTTTTCCCGTCGACTCAGTCCAGCCGAAAGAAATTATGACGTGGGTAACCGCCATGAAGTCCAAGGAAGGCCATGAAGTCCAAAGGAATTATCTGTAGACCTCCGAGACAGAATTGTATCGAGGCACAGATCTGGCGAAGGGTACAGAAAGATTTCTGCAGCATTGAAAGTCCCAATGAGCACAGTGGCCTCCATCATTCGGAAATGGAAGAAGTTTGGAACCTGTTTTCGTTCTTTATTTTTAACAGATTTGCAAAAATTAGCAAAAAACAGTTTTCACTTTGTCATTATGGGTTATTGTGTGTAGAATGTTGAGGAAAATAATGAATTTAATCCATTTTGGAATAAGGCTGTAACATAACAAAATGTGGAAAAAGTGAAGCGCTGTGAATACTTTCCGGATGCACTGTATGTCCCCATGCATGGCTTGTTACGGTTTCCAACCCCCGTTATTCCCAGCCCAAGAGGAGGAGGTGGCAGTTTCTTCAGTAGACGAGCATCTCCGGAGGGTTCGGGAGGTTTGGAGGAATGTGAAGGCGGCACTCACTCGCTCTGCTCTATACTCTAGAATATTTACACAATTTCTTCCGTAAAAAAATGTAATTTGTCATTATTAGCATAATAATTTAATTTACAGCTACTTTAGTTTTGTACATCACTTTCTCACCTCTTTGTCAAACCCATCATGTTCTTACCTCCGTAACCTGTCCAACCACCTGTCCTCTTGACTCCATTCCGTCCCAAATTCTACAATCCACCGCTCCTGACCTTCTTCCTTTCCTCACCTGTCTCATTAACACTTCCCTGCTATCTGGCTGTTTCCCCAACTCTCTGATGGAGGCAAGAGTTAACCCACTCCTGAACATACCCATCTGATGAAAACAACTACAGACCGGTCTGTCTTCTTCCCTTTCTGTCTATAACATTACACGCCAATTAGCTGACGCTTTTATTCAAAGTGACTTACAATAAGTGCCTTTCAACCATAAGTATACAAAATCAGAAGAACAAGAGTGCAATAATAAGCTGATTTACAACTTACTATAGATGAGAGCCATTATAAGTACAACTTAAGTGCAAACAATTTGTGTATAGTATAGTGTATATAGTAAAGGTGTAGTTTGAAGAGGGTCAGGGTGTGTCTTTAGTTTGCGCCAGAAGATGTAACGGCCTTCTGCGGCCCTGATCTCATCAGAGAGCTCATTCCACCATTTCGGAGCCAGGACAGCAGAGTCGTGATCGTGTTGAGTGTTTTGCTCTAAGTGAGGGAGGAGGGAGGAACAAGCAGTTTGGTAGATGTCCAAATCTCTCGTGCTATCTTTTACCAACTCTCCTATCTCCACCCTAACAACCTCCTTGACCCTCACCAGTCAGGCTTCAAGGCTGGCCATTCCACAGAGACTGCACTCCTTGCGCTTGCGGTCTCAGAGTAACTCTAACTATAGCCGCCTCTCTCTCCTCTGTCCTCATCCTTTGGACCTTTGTGCTGCATTTGACACAGTAAACCACCAGATCCTTATTTGATTGTCTCGGGCTCTCCTCTTTCTCTTCTCTAATCAGAGAGAGGGTGATCGGCTCCAGTCCATCAAAGACTTGTTCACTTCTAGGACCCTGACACGAGCTAGAAAGATTGGAGCCACCCCCCCTTACTCCGGCCAGAGGCTTTTTGAGCCCCTTTCCTCTGGCAGGAGGCCGCAGTCCATCAGGACCAAGACCTCGCCACAGAAACAGCTTCTTCCCCTCATGAGCTGGTCTCCACTTGAACCAAGTCAGAGTCCCCCACTGACCCAGACACTCCACCCCCAGGACATTTGCACAGTGGTTTTTCACCATAGAAACATATTTACATACAGTACATATGTGTTTTAACATACTTATCTTATTTGTTTATATTGTCTGCTTTTATATTTTTTGCTTATTTTGTATCTTGTGTTATTTTATTTTATTCTTATATTTTTATATTGCACCAATTACCGAGACAAATTCCTGTATGTGTAGCATACGTGAGAATAAATGGCTTCTGATTCTGAAAACATCTCTTACAAACAATTGGATTTTAATTTCTCTGCAAATCAGAACAAATGTAGTTTGTTAACTACACACATGGGGTCGCTGCTTGATCATGACTGAACACAGATCACCTATTCATGGATTCATTTCAGACCACTTTATACTATTTGAAAACCTTTTCAGCCAACATGTGAGCTTCCACTCCCCACTAAAACTAAAAAAGCGAAGGGAACCAGGTTTGGTACATTTTAAACAGATGTATATATGCAATGTATACAGTACACACGTATACTTTTAAAAATGTCATTGTTATGATTTCTCTGTGGACTAACGCCATCACACATGATTATTATTGGGCTCATGTGCCTTCCTGTTGTTCAAAAAATATATCAAGCCTAAGACTGTATTGGGACCCCGGTTTGAAGAAATTTTCAAAAACAGTATCTTTTGAATAGCCATGCCAGGTTTCCCTCTCCAAAGTGTGAAGTTTAATTCAATGATATTTCACTTTATTTTGAAAACAGAAGCAACTCCAGTGTCTGAATGTGGACCCAGTGATCCCGTGGGTCTCAGAGGGCCTCCAGGATCCCAGAACAATAATACTGTTAATGTAAGATATAATGGATGTGTCAGATGTGACGTACCAACAGTAATCCAGAGCAAGGTAACCTGGACCATGTTAGGCTGTAAATAGGACAACATTGTGTTGTTAATGCATTACACAACCGGTTTTGACATTACTCAAGTTAATGCATTGCACAACCGGTTCAGATGACCCTGCTATGAACCTGTGAGGGGTCAGGACTTCGATTCAGGCACAGAGCAATAAGGCAATGAACAAAACTTCTTTCCAGGTTTGGAACTTTTTACTTTTTACTTTAAACCGGGGTTGGGACTTCACACACTCTCGATGAAAAAAAAAAAGGAAAAGGGCCTGACTACAGACATGCAACTCGGGAAGGGACAAAAGATAACCTGACACGGACAAGTGGGGGGTCTTAGGCTTAAATACAGGTGGAGGTAATTGCAAACTAAACTCCACAGTGGGGAGAAACGAAGGGCGAGAAACTAAATACAGGAAGTGCAGTGGTTACAAGAATAAAACAGGAAGCTAGTCTTCTCCGTCTCTTTGAGTCGTCACAGAACCAGACAGTTCCAGACAGTATATACTGGCTACAGTGCATGTGTGTGTGTACGTGTGAGTGTGGAGTGAATTGTATGACTGATAATATTGACTTTACAGTTTGTACACATGCAACATCCTTTGCCGAACCCCTCACATTGGCACAAGAAATACTCCCAAAAACCCATGAACAGGGGAAAAGAGGATTTGCTGCTAGGGGCAGACCATTATATTGTAAAGCTAGTGTTATCCTGTGCTCCTGCTCTTTAGAAGCTACACTGCTCCTGCAGTCCGTATGAAGATTGAGACGCTCTGAGTAGAGCGTAAACTCCAAAATTGAAACCATAGTTTGTTTTTTTTCCGACCACAATTTGGCATCACAAACAGGATGCTAACATGGTGGAAATTGGCCATCACACATTAACACCAAAACCAATTATATACTAGGCTGTAAAAATGTTTATTTCTGCTGTAAAGTTGGGAATTGTAGCATCTGTGGTTTTTGGAGTCCATTTGATGAACATGCGTCTTTATTAGTTAGAAGTAGCTGCTTGGGGTGAACCCAACAGCAGCACACAAACACACCCACGTGGCGGGCAAAGTCCCTGAACTGACCCTTGTGCTGTTGCAAGCTATGTCAGGTCAAACAAAGAAATACATCCACACACCTTTTTTTAAAACTTGTGACAGGCCCCAGACAAGTGACATAGTTGATAGTTGAGTTGATGGCCTGTAAGACACACAAACACACACAGTGTATACAACTAGCACAAACTGCTGCCACAAACCCTGAATCGCAGAATGATGAATACAGCAGTTTAATTACTTTAAGTATCATTTATTTTACAAACATATCTTAAAAAAATAGAGGGTCTCTATTATGAACTGTTCACTTCAAATATACAATAGAATATAGACACCGAACCTTTTTATCAAATAGTGAGTTTGAAACAAACATACAAGTGATTATCAATATAAAGCTACTCACTGTCACATTCATCAAAACCAAGTAATGGACAAAGCCAATAAATGGATAACCATCACTGTCTACAGCAGACCAGTTTACAGAACACCGTGACATTGCTGCAGTACATGCATTCAACTCGATTCTCCTCAATCAGTGATTGTGCAGGGATTCAACACAAGTATTCCATTGTCCATTTGTACAAAACAAGCAAAGGTACAACAAAACAAGTTTCACTGAACACATGTCACTGACCGAGCTTTGATATTTGACAAGGTGTGAATGAGAATGGTTGCAACATCAGGCATACAAGAACAGACCAAACTTTTCCCTTTTTATAAAGCAAAAACAAAGAAATGTACTTCTTTGTTAATATGCACTGGAACTCTTGAGAAAGAAATGGCTAGGAAGCAGCATAGAAAAAACTTAATTTTGAGGAATCAGCAAAACAAGTTACTAATGTTTGGGTGAAATGCCACAATCCCAATGTTTGTTGGGTAATGTTCACAATGGGATATTTTCTTCAAATTGTTCATTCCTACCATGAGCTCTCAATTAACCTCTCCATCTCACCCCATCTTAGACTATCTACTATCTTAAATGTCAGCATCGTTCTGCTGTTCTACTAATCCAAACCACACACGTAAAAACAAGAGGAGGGAGGAACAGGAACAGGAATCCAAAAGGTTCCCAGACCATCAGGGCGCAGATGCTCTTTTCTCTTTTTGGATCTCCTTGGCCATTTTTAATCAGGCCGGGGTAACAGCTCTGGTACCACAACTCCGGTTCATGAGGTGCAGCAAAAGCTGTCATCACTGAATCACTTGGAAGCGCGGTAAACGGCCAGGTCTCGTGGCTCCTTGGAGGGAATGCACCAATCGTCGGCCTCCAAACTCAGCTTGTAGTGACGCAGTGCAGTCTTGTTGAAAACTGGCAACCTCTCCACCGAGTCAGTCGACAAAGCCTGGAGACGGACACAGAAAGCAGATGGTCGATGTAGAGACGGTACAGGGACCTCGTTTTTTCAAATGTATCAAGAAATGTCGTCAGAGAAACAAGTTCTGAAACCTGAACCCGCCTGTTACAGTAAAGACTTGATGAAATAGAGTTGCACAAAGATTGGGGCCCCGATTGACCAATATGTCGGTTATTGAATATCTGTGTAATTAATAAGTTACCTTCAGGTGGATGACTGCGTCAGTGCCGTGCCCCTCCATGGAGTAAAGCTGCAAGTCTCCCTGGAAGTAACGAGTGTAGAGGCGAGAGATGGGCAGACCATAGCCGAACCCCGCCTGCACACACACCCATACGTACATGTTAGCTCTTCTTGTGTATTAGTATTGCAGTGACTGTGTATGTGTGATTGTGTGTGTGCAAGCTGCTCACCAGTGGGGCTCTGTGCTTATCTTCTATGGAGGGTCTGGGAGCCGTGGAGTACATGTAGCTGAACAGACGCTCCGTCTTCCTGAAGGGAACACCGCCTCCTCTGTCACTCATCTGGAGAAACAGAGAGATCACAGAGACGTTGAGCGATATTTGGGGTTTCTTTTATGTCGGGTTTGTATGCATGCGTGTGCTATCTACAAAGGGGGCACGTCAGCACACAGTATGTCTATGCCTATATCTGGAAGGTCTTCACTGCTCTATTTTTCCATCAGTTGTACGTTCCGTTCGCACTGAGACTATATTCTAAATATAGAATACACCTTAATGGTTATGGACAGTAAAATGAATGGTTCATATACTTTTTTTACATGGGTGGCCATCCCAGTTTGGAGAGAAAAAACGTGTTTTGGCTTGTCAGCATGAAACAGAGCAGGATGACTTGGTATGTTTGTGTATGTGTGTAAGTCCACCTTGAAAAACCATTTTAAGTGTTTCAACGGCAGGCAATTAGGGAGAGTAAGTATCAACCAATAGTGACAGTTAATCCTGTCTAAATATGGATGGACGATGTGCCAGGGGCCACTGGTGTCAATAACTAGGCTTGGTGTTATGTAATGAGGGTTGATGTATCTAATCAAGCAGGTGAATGGAGATCAGTCAGGGTAACAAGAATATTGGGGGAAAGGTTGAAAACACTTTCAGACTGGGGAGATAAAGAAAAAATTATTCGTTGTACTCTTTCTTTCCACTGTCATTTGAATAATCACAGAATCACCTTAGGAATACTTATTATTAGTGACGTTGTAGCAGAGGAAGGATTACTGTGTTTTGGGGGGATTTAGAAGTTTTAGTTTAACCTTCATAGGGCATTCAAGTAACACTTTCCCTTTTCTTTCAACCTGTGATGTTCAAGAAAGCTTAGTAAATCTACTATTGATGTAAGCTGATGCCTTCTGGGCTTTTATAAATGGAATCTGCTTGTTTTGAGTTAGGCGTAAACCCATGCAGTGCACCAGAGAACAGCAGAATGCTGTGATTACAGGAAAATGAAGATACATCACCAGCATATCACGATTCAAGAGTTATATCCTTGTTTACTTACCTTGATTGTCAGGTCCTCTCCACCAAGAGCGACCATGACTTTGATGGGTGGGAGGGACCTGCTTGTATCGTGGTTCTCAATGGTTGCCCTCATAGCATTCTAAAGAAAGGAAACAGTGAGGCCGATCAGCTGTTTGGACCAAAAGGTAAAGCTTACGGGTGGGTTTTAAACGTTTAATTCGAAGGCAGATCTAAATGTTAAAGGAAGTTCATTCCAAAACCCTACTGGACCAACTGCTCGAGGCAGTGAATATCAATATTTGAATACTTACATTATATATTTGATCTCAATTGAGTAACAATGGTGCATTATTTAGCTCACAAAGACAAACTTGTCTTTTGAACATTTTTACGGCCGACGATGACCCATAGTTTAGATGTCAGGTAAGTTGTTTGCATTTAGGAATCAGGAATCAGGAAACATTTATTAGCCAAAATATGTCAAACATACAAGGAATTTGTCTTGGCGGTTAGTTCGGTGGTTTATTCAACATGTATCGTAATAATGTATATTGTGCAGCTGCAGTAATATTTGTTACCTTGAAGAGTTCAAAGAGCATGTGGTACAGGTGAGATGGGACGTATGAGATGTGAATGGGCTCTTGTTTGTTGTTTGCTATGGGAGGAAAACAATCATGAAACACACATATTAGAGATGTATGAAAAACTGAAAAAGTGTGTGTTTTGGTGTGTCTCACCATTCATCTGCCTGAGCTCCAGCTCTGGTACTCCCAGGTAATACTGCTCACACAGCATCTTAGCACTCTCATAGGCATCTAGAGAGTGACAGGAAGAAATACTAAGCTACCTCTATTCGTTGACACCGAGAAGAGGCAGGGGTCACCCAGGTCTGATTGCCACTAGGGCTGCAACTAACGATAATTTTGATAATCGATTAATCGATGAATCAGATTTTAAAAAGACAGCCTTAAAAAGCTTTAAATTCCAACCCTTTACTCTAAAACAGAAATGCAAATTCACATTTCAAAAATACTTCAGAAAGTACAAGTTGCTTCTTGAACACAATCATTGATAAAAAGAAAAAAAAATGGAAAATTTAACAGGATTTGTTTTAACGTCAGAACTTGTTCTTTTATACTACACTCTCACACACACACACACACACACACACACACACTCACAAACACATCCCCATGTTCACTTGAGGCCTATTCATTAAATTATCATCATCATGGTAGTGCAAGTTAAGTAAATGTATACACCCCATCTAAGTAGCCTACAGCTAAAAAACAACAAAGTGCTATGAGATAAATTTAAAATGGCATTTGTAAATAAATGCATTAGAGGCTTCTTCGTTAGCCGCGCTGGTTTAATAGATCACCGTGTCTCCCTTTACAGGCATAACATCAACTACCGTATAACCCACAATATGTGCGCAAGCGCACTAAACTACCGTTCATGACAGCATTAAAAAGTACAAAACATACAAATATATTTGGAAGCAATAACCGATATGGGACAAAGCACGAAATATATACAACAACAGATTAAAAAATGAATAGTCCAAAGAGGCGAGTAAATAAAAACATGTCTTAGTCTTGCTAACTGCTTTACTGCGGTTATTAGCGAGCTAACGCTAGCTTGATCAGCTGGATGACTGACGGGACGCTCTTTATGCGTCATGTGACTCACAACAACTGCCGGCGCTGCTGGCTGCTCTTTCCTCTACCTCGGTGCGGCGCATCGATTTTTTATTTTTGCTCCGCGCGCATCTCCGCAACTCATTGAGTGACGTAATAATAATAATATAACAACGAATCAATGATGAAATTCGTTGCCAACGCTTTTAATAATCGATTTCATCGATTCGTTGTTGCAGCCCTAATCGCTACACTATTACAGGGCTGACGTACAAAGACAGACAACCATTCACACCTAAGGGAAATTTAGAGTCATCAATCAACCTAAGGTTGCCTTTGTACTGTGGGAGGAAGCCAGATAACCTGGAGAGGGAGGACCATGCTAATTCCACAGCCATAGGGGCTCATATAGGGATATATTTCTGAAAATGAAATAATTGCCACAAAAGCACATTACAAGATTATGAAACGTCAGTTGTAAAAGCAATGCTTACCCGAATATAACACAAAAATGAATTATTTTTAAATATACATTTCACTTTAAAGGTGTTACTTTTTTGAAACATCACTGTTTTGTTGGGCCCTTATAGTAGGCTTAGGCATAACTGGTATAGTTGGGGCTGGCTCAGATTTGTACTGCTTTCTCACCCTGCAGGTTTCCATGGATCAGGGTAACATAGGGGCAGTGGTTGGGACTGTAGCCGGGCCCCACCTGACACCCACTACAACTCTTATCAGTCCTATTCCATTATTATTACTGTTGATGTTTATCATTGTTCATTTCTTTTCCTCCCCTCTCTCTTTCCGTGGTCGCCGAAGGCTTATGGGCGACCATCTAGAGCCTAGTTCGGCTAACGGTTTCCAACCGTCAAAGAGTTTTTTCCTTGCCATGGTTTTCCTCCCATCCCGGGGAATGTTAGGTCTCTGTAAATGTGTAAAACAACCTGTGCCCCCCTCAACAATGTCCTTCTTCCTCTTACCTTGCGCAACTTCAGTCACTTCACATACGGAGTCGATACAGCCAATGGTATTGGGGTGGGCGGGGTTTGTGTTGCCCTTGAAGATAAGAGCTGCAAGAGAGTTAAGAAAGTTATATAGTTATACTTCAAGTACAAGTACCATACTTATTTGTAGTTAGTTATAACTTTGGTAATAACAGGTTGACATATTGTGAACTTCACATAAGTGTGAGTTTAGTGTGTTTGTGTGTGGCAGCTCACTGTGCTGGTTGATGAGCATGCGGATGGAGATGCGGCTGGTGTAGAAACGGTCTAGGAAATACTGGATGTTGTGGTCGGTGACGGCGTCCTGCCGGTCGAAAGCGTCTTTGTACTCGATGATCCCCTGAGCCATGGTGGGGACTACGTCGTTGTGCCGGTTTCTGACGGACTCCAAGATGTCCACGAACCTGAGATTGGTGGGGAATGGAAAGAGGAGAAAAGGAAAGAGCAAGGGGATGAGGACAAGACAGAGGGGAAGAGAGGAAGATGGCAGGGTTTAGGTTCAAGGAAAAAAGTTGAGAAACGTTATCCTGTCCAGTTTTGTCCCAGTTTGGCTGGTGGGTGTGCTTCACTCACATTTCAAGGACTCTGTGGTCATCGGGGCTCTTGTCCAGGAAGTCCAGGATCTCCATCAGGCTCTGAATATACCTGACAGACCACAAACACCAGCAGAGAGTCACTGGCTGTCCAGCAGCTGCTGTCCCAGGAGATATCAATAAGAGAGAGGGGGCAGAGACAGAGAGTATGTAAACACCACCACCCATCTCTGACCCTAACGTGTGTTTGTGTGTGTGTTTGTTGACGGGATTCAAAGAAAATAACTACGTGACTTTGGTTTCCTGAGCCGACCCTCCCCAACACCCCACCACCTCGTGTCCTCCTCTTCTCCCCCTCCCTCCTACACACACACCAGATCATCAGAAAATTTTCACAACATGCTGTAAAGATTGTGGAAAACAGAGAGAACTAAAAAAATAACTGTGTTAATTAATCTACTACACAGCAAAATGCTTAGAGTTAATTTTCCGGAGTTAGGCAAAAGTGTTGAAGTGCAGAGTTGAAGTCACACTGCAAAAAGTTGACAACTGTTACAGAGTCAATTGTACGAAAGAGCTGAGAGCCATTATCCAGTGTCAAGGACTTGGGTTTTTAACTCTACATAGAGTGTATTTAACACTGAGCAGATTTATTTGGACACTTATTCCGAGTTAAATTGTTAACACTTCGTTGAGTGTTGATTTAACACTGACCACTGAGAGGATTAGGACAATATAAACACCAGTTTAGAGTTAAAATTGAATCTGACAGTCAATTTAACTCTGAAATTTGCTGTGTATAGACAACAACATGAACGTAAAATCATTCAATCGACATTGCAAGATTGTGTCACTTATAGACACTTAAAAACTTTTTTTTTCATCACGTTGTTATGTTTGCTATACCTCTCAAACTCCCTCTCAAACGGCAACATTGCAAGCCAACAACAATGAGGTCAAAGGTCAGAGGTTGTCTTGAATTAAATTAGTCTTGAATTAGCCTCAAAAAGGTCGAGAATAAATATAACCAGAGAGTTTTTGATACACATTGTCATTTTAAATGTCCCCATGATTCGTTTAAATAACAGGAATACAATCTTTCGTCATCTTTCAAACTCAAAATTTTTTCTTATGGATGATGCTGAAAGTGTGACTCGCTTTTTATAACTAAGTGAGCCAACAGATTGGAACGGGCTGTTCCTCTCTGCAACAACAAGTTGTACAGTAAAGAGGAAGAAAGGTGGGGGCTAGAGGGGGGGGGGGGGGGAGGGGTACTGGGACAAAGTTCAGCACCACCTCCTCATTCTCTCACTGCTGTGTAATGCAATTTATGATTATATCATGGCGTGTTATTCATTGGGAGAGGATTAACCACGTCACAGCTCTTAAATGAGGACCTACTCTGCAGAAACAAACAAACAGTTTTGAAAGCGTTTCACAAGTCTGAAGAGTCAGAGAACGGTCTGTGCCTGAAGGGAAAACATGAAGTCATTCAAAGGTGGAATGTCACATGCACTTTTGTTAGCTGCACATATGTTTCAATACATTTTGTGAACAGAAAACCTTAGTGAATATTTTTTTTAGTTAAAGAGGATGTTGTGTATTCATTCAATTCAATTATTATTATTATTATTATTATTAACATATATATTTCTTGTTGCACTGTGTATTTTGTTTACAACTTATGGAATAAATACAGGTATATATATATTGCACTATATGTATACTGTATATACCTAGGAAATTGCTCACCTTTTGTATATGTACAGAACCGTCAAATGTTATGTCATATATAAAGATAAGTTAATGAGACCTATTTTCGTGGAATGAAATCGTGCACTCTTCAGTGGGAGTCCAGGCCTCACCAGCTGTGCAGCAGTTGGACAGAGGGCGTGGCCAGCAGCCGCGGCGGCAGCACGCTGATTTCCTTCACGATGTTGGCCAGACGCACAGGGAGCTCCTGCCGCAGGAACACGAACGACGTGCGCTCACAGGCGTTGGTGGAACCTGGAGGTCGGAACAGAAGGGTAGTCTTAACTCACACGTACTTGGTGGTCGCATGAGCGAATTGAGCGAATTGAGATGGCTGAGATGAATTGAGGTGACTTGTTAAAATGCTTTTCGCTCGGTATATTTCATATCTGGCTCGGTCATGAAGGCATTGAGATGTGGTCGAAAGCTCTACAAAGTGCACCGATGTCAAGAGTAAACTAATTATTTACGGAACTGATCATGAGGAAGACATAGTGAATTAAAACAAAACCATGGTACTGTACAACATCAATGAAAGGTGCTTGACCTCCCCAGGACGGTAAGTGATATCCTCTCAACCTGCTCCCCACATCTTAAACCAACCTCATATTAACAGCAACAGCTCTACGTCCACAATAAGGGAAAAGTCATGATTTGACAGTATTTCCTTGTTGTTATTGTAACACATTGTCTCATGTTCATTACATGATCATAACTAGAATGGACCACGAGCAGCAGCAAAGGAACCACGGAGGCACAACAACACTCACCGAAATCCAAAAACTGCTTCATGGACAGAGGAGAGGGGGAGAACTTGGAGAAGTGGTCGATGTGTTGTGGCATGTTGGCCTGAGCCACCGTCTTCACCACAGAGCCAACGAACCGAACTTTACTCGTCATCCTCAAAGCGGCCAAAGAAACCTTTAGGAAAGAAGATAACAATCTTTGAGTGACAGCTGAGGGGCTGAGGATGCTGTCGTTTACAGTCTGCAGTCCGACGCGCGGAAACCTTCGTTAATAGAAAGGCTCAGCCTATGGGAGAGCTCGGTGAGGCGGCCAGCGAATCAGAATCTACGAAGGGTCCCGCCCACTTGTATTCTGAATGTGGTAAACAAGAGTCGAATGGAAAAAATGTCAGCTGTTGTGTCCTCGTGCTGTCGTCACGTTCACACCAAGCTGCACGGCACTGCTACACTTGTTTACATGGAGGTGGAATCCAACTATTAAGTGGCTCTTTAGTAATTGTCATGTTCGTCGTTCTGACGCACAATACTATGTTTGGTTTACTGGTTCTTTTCATTAAAATAAGCAAAAAGCAAATGGAATCATGTTTGAATGGAGAAATGAGGTGTAACAGGAACTGGCATCCAGCATTCCTCAGAGGCCTTTTTTTTGCAACCTTTCCATTCACCAGAGATCAAAGGGTAAAGAAACATCGTGACGGATGTTATCATGATGTTCTACATGTTATTACACAATACCTAATGGTTTCCAAATACATTTATTATATTCCATTGATTAAATGTAATGTTGTCTCTTGCGAGACAATGCCCAGAAATGGTGGTGGTGCCTCTATAGCATTGTTGAGCCTCCTTTAAAACGATCCAAATCGTGTGGAGTGACATAAAGGTGGAGGTTTTTATGATGATGCGCAGGGTCTCTGGGGCCCTTGTCCAATGAGACCTCATAGTTGAGGTAGGACCAAAAAAACATATATGTGAACCAACTTCTTCATGGGGTTAAGTATAAAAATAATTTATTTTACTTACACTTAGATGTTTCACCAAAAGGATTACCCTGTCCACTAGATATCGCTCTTGGTACTGCTGGACATATACTCACTAATATAACGACAGAATAATATTGCTGTTGTGTTTCCTCTAAGACGGAGTGTGAACATTGAGTTTTATTATATGAAAGACGCCACATGTGGACGGACACCTGCATGTTGCCATTTGATACCCGTTTGTTTCAACCCATATACTCTTGTGATAATGTGAAAAACAGTGACACACTAATGAAAGTTGTGTGTGTTTATAAGAGAGGTGTTTCAAAGAGTGTATAGATTCTATTGCACTGTTGTGTGGTGTGCGTGACCTCATTGTTTACATTAAGGGTCTTTAAAGTTTTTCAGGCCAAGGACTGATACAATTGTTTTTTACATTAAACTGGGCCTCATGCCATGTATAGACACACTTTGTTATTGTATATCCAATACTAAGCTATTGAAATAAACAGCTTCATATGAGGTGGCCGGTACAACGCCATTTATAACAGCCTTGTCAACTAATATCAATGACAGTATTATAATTGCTTGATGATCATGCATATAAGCTATTCAAGTTACAATTTTTGTTTTCAACATAGATTTGACACTTTATGTGAGTGATGGCACATTATAGTTGTTGAAGCTGAAAGATAACATCTTCTTCCTCCATTTATGTATCTGTTAAAATATGTTAGATACAATATAAAGACATCCAAATTTGTGAAAAGAAATTAGAGGAAAAACAAAATATGAAAGAAACATGGAAAATAATGTGTAATATGTTTCCTTTGAATGGATTGAGTCTCAGTTAGACTTCAGCATAATGAGACTGGAGCACCTGGGGGTTTTGCCCTAAAGCATACGTCATCATGCAGCACTCTATAGATAGAAGAGAAGAATCCTTAGGAGCTTTGAGGTGAGGTGAGGACTCCCTCTTGTGGTTGGCAGTGACCACAGCAGCACCTTGCAAGTGTTTACATTTGAAACCGTCATTAAACATGCAAACATTTTTCATTCTTAATAGACAATACACCTTAAGTGTATGGAAGAATATTAATGAAAATGATTATAAGAACAAAAAATGTAACTTCAAATTAGGAATAAACAAATTAATTGTAAACTATTAATTATTTATAGCTATAATGCCTACTATATACATGCAATAGAGCTTAAATGACCAACTGTGCTGTAAAAAAGATTACATTCTGAACAAGCTTCTAAGGCTAAGTGTGACAGAATAACCAGAGAAAATGCCCGAACCAAATTTCCACTCTCTAAAACTCACGGCACCGTGGGGGGGTTAGGTCTGTCCCCCCGTCACACCGTCAACTGTTTGAGGGCTCTGTGGCAGACAATTTGAGCACTTAATGAGAAATAAATTCTGACTCTGCCCAAGGGAATTACCCACAGGTCATAGCAGTGTGACGCTTAAAACAGGATAACTAGTGAAAGCGTGGGGACGTAAAAAAGACATAAACAAAGAGTGCGTTCAGCCTGTTATATTTAATTTACATAGAAATATTAAAGATTAAAGATAGAACAAAAAAACATATGAAATCAGATGATATTTACTAATTTATTCATCAAGCTGTTTTGAAAAGTAGAAGAATTATTTTATGAGGACAGAGCCTGAAAGAGGTTCACGATTGAATTGGCAGCTAGGTTTCTGATTGGATCGATGCTGCCCCCTGCTGGGCTATACAGGCACCAACAACAACAACACTTGTTGCGTTGGTTGTGTGACGTGGTTTTCAAGAGATGCAGGTTGTTGGTACTCCAGTGAAAGCTAGGGGAGTGAAGCTGTAGAGGTGATGCTTAATGCTTATTTCAGACAAGAGACAATGTGTTTAAGGTGGTTTCAAGGTTTTGATTTAATACTGAAACCTATAAATACATCAGTTCCAGATAAACCTATGTGCCATAGTATAACTATAGTCATGTAAATGAACTCCGCTAGCCAACCTTTCATCCCACTCAAGATCACCTCACATACAGTTTAATATGCAAGAACAGTATTGTTTTTATTAAACAGCATATTCTAGCATGCCCATAAAGCAAACAGTGGGATTATGGATACCCACTTTAATTAACACTACTTAATTAAGGTAATTACTGTTGGTGGATTTAATGCGCTAGCCGGACCACAATAGTTAGCTAACACTAGTTAGCCGGATCATGCTAGCAAGTCACACTAGCTCCCAGAGCATCTTTCTACCTTGTAGGTACAGAGTCAGTTCCTCCTTTCTGACATTGTAGACTTGTGATTGTACATAATCCGATCTAATAAAATGTTTTATTGTGGAGGAGGAAAGCTCTTCTGGCAAGCTCTTCGGCCAATAGTTAGCGGCCAGTTAGCTTGTTGAGGACAAGACAATTTCTTTACATACATAGCCTATAAATGGCACATTCACAATCAACTTCTCTCTCTCATAGATGTCTGCAAAAGCTTTTGAGGCAGTTCACACTAGAGGAGATTAAACCGAGTTAAACACCGCCACAGACCTGGAATTGTTTTTGCTAAATAGATTGCAGCCATCAATAATTAATCCCCCTTTGCAGTACCTCCTTTTGATGTTTTGATGTATGTTTCTTGTATTGAAGGGCAATGGAAAAATGGTAGAAAATATAAAACAGTTCAAGTGTTTTTCAAGTGAGCTAATGGTCTAAATTTCTTTCTGACCGATTTGTGTCTTTGTGGTAATTTTGAAATTGATGTCTTCGCTTGTAGACATTGAGTTTTAGAGTTCCCCCCAAATTTAGCCTTCATTGACTGAGAGCAAGGAGAGAGAGAGCTGTAAATTTGAACTCCCTATTTTACAATCTTTCTATGAATACATTGCTGTCATTTTAAATGTGCACTGGTGTCTTCTCAATGCCCCTCGGGATGGTTCTCATCCTTCGCTGCTCCCCCCCCAGGCAATATCTCTGTGTTCTCTGCCAGCGCAGCGCGCACTTTCTTCTTCTCTTTAAACCTCCCGGAGTGAGACACCTTGACATGGCGCCCTTTGTTGGCCAACGTTTTATCCATGATCCTCTCCAGTCGGGCGTCCAGCTGGGGGTGGTGCACCCCCTCCTCCGAGTGAAGTGCAGCTCCCCCTGTGCTGTATCCATGCTGGGCTGTGGCGTTGGTAACCAATGCCGCAGGGATTTCATACTGGACCTTGGGCTGGGATTTCTTCCTCCTGAGGAAAGTCAACTCCCACCAACTTGGAGACGGCTCTGCCATGATGGATGAACAAGGTGGGGGAGGGGGGAGATTTCTGAGGAGGGATTTAAAAAAAGAAGGTTAAAACATAAAAGCTGTAGGCAGGGTAAAATACATTTTTGATTTTTTAAAAAGAGATAAAAAAAGACTAATCTGCAACACAAAGACACTGCATGAGCGTTGGTGCGCATGTCTCTGTCTTTACATAACTTTGGGTTTGTCGCAATCTGCGTGTGTGTTTTTCAGACGACCGTACCTATCCTCCCATGACACTGTCAATAATTCAGTGTAATTTAATGGCTTCCATATGCTGTAGAGGCACACATGCTCCAGTTACAGTGTGTGTGTCACATCAGAGAGAGTGTGTGTGAGTGTTTTATAGAGAGAGATGAAGCTGAGCCAATAGATATATATATATTATGTAGGTACAGGCATTGTGTTACACCGTGTTAGAATGATGTTACCATTAGTTAGTCTGAAAGTGTCATACATCTAAAGGCAGCAAACAGAGCCACAAGGATAACTGCAGCCTTCTTTAACTCTGGTCAGAACCACACTTTATTTTCCTTATTCTTTTGTTCCAAGCTAAAATAATTGTCATGTTTCTTTTATGTCAATCGCATGTATACTATACAGTTTTTAAGTCCACTACGTGGATGTTTGTTTACTACCAGATCAGGAACCTCCAACTAGTGTAGAGAGGGAAATAAATATTACAAACACCAGATGTTCTACCAATGCTAAGACGTGACCTCTTGTGGTAACTGTTCCATTACTTAGACTTTAAAAGAGGTTAACATCAGCAAACTGTCCCAGACGGCATGCAAACTGGCTGCAGGTCAGTTCCTGGTTGCCTTCTGGCCCCTTTTTAAGGAGCTCAGTAAACAGAAACTAAGCCGCATTGTTTTATTGCTTCTCTTCTTCTTTCACTCTCTCTCTTTCTATATTTCATGAAGACAGATACGCTGCATGTTGATTTTTGTTAGGCTCCCTTTGTTCCTTTTTTTACCATATTTTACTTTGAAGTGACAGCGAGTATCGACTTCCTAGCCGCTCTGTGTTTGACTGCCAGCTAAATGAGTGAATTATTTTAACTTGAACTGGATTGACTGGCAAGATGCTGACTTTGCAAAGGTCACCGTGTAAAATGAACAATACTTGGCTTCATGGAAAAATTCCTACTGACTTTCCCATAAGCCAGGACTTAACTCTGTGTTGTTGCTATAATTACCAAATCTTAGCATGCTAATGTGCTAATGAATCACACTGCGTAGGAAGAGGCAAAAAGCCAACTGGGCTTATTTGATGCCTCCACCTATATAATATTAAAATATTTTACAAAATTACAAACCAAAAAACGAAATATGGGTAATATAGACAGCATAAGAAAAATAAAGAAAATAAAAATAACGGAATTGTGTTGCATGTGTGTGTGAAAGCAAGCATGGCCTATACTTGTTCAGGGATGTTGTATTACAGCCATGAGATATTTCCTAAGCAATGGGAATGCTAAGTGAAACCACTATAAATGTAGATAGAACAGCAAAAACAAGAAGGAGATGAGCACTAATCCATAAACTCTTACAAAACAGCAGTTAGAATATCTTTCTAGTCACTTTTTGAAACGTTTGAGGTATATCCTCACAGATGCCTTTATTTAATCCTACAGATTATGGTCTGAATCTGTAATCTTCTTCAATATAGCATTGTTTAAGCAAATGTAATTACCAAACACAAACACACAACCTAGGGAGAGCAGAGTGTGCTGCTTTTCATATAACTGGCTCTGCCTTCATTTTCGCCCGGCAGCTAAGAAACAAACAGGAACTATTTGATTATTGGTTCATTTTAAGGGCACACTGTGAATGGATTTCCACTTCAAACCTTTCCCTTGCTTCAGCCGCTCACAATTGTCTGACCTGACTGCAGTGTTGGTGAATATAATAGAGCGAATCCAAACAATGAAAAAAAGTGGGAACCGTCACAAACAGGAGAGATCTTGGATCATAAATTCCTTAAGGGTACAGTAGTATGGTAGATAAACTGTTAACAGACAGAGGAATGCACGCAACTGGCTACTGGCAGACACCGTGAAAAACTTAAGAGTCAATATTGTGCAACAAAATTATGTGGTGTATTATTGATGTAATCTAATAGAACCTTTACACACAAATACTACACTAACATTCTAGAGTAGTGTTTTAAATCATATCATATATTTCAATTTCCAAACATACATAGTCTGTTGTATCCACGGACACAATTATATGGGTGTGTATCTGGGCTCCCAACCAAGAGGTTCAAAGGTTGTCATGCCTTGCAGGTAGATGATCACTACACCATATTTGCTGAAACCCTTCATCCTTCACTGTTTTCAAATGTTCCCACATGTTCCACATTCATGGGAATGGACATGTCAAGCTTGGATCAAAACTGGGATTACCCAATTACTACTGAACAGCAAACTCCAGAAGAAAAAAAAAAGTATCATAATCGTCGGGAGCAGCTGATATTCTTCAGCGGTTCACAGGTGAACTTGTGGTTGTTTTTAAGACGTTCTCCTGCCCCTATTGCAGCATTCACATTTTGGAACCTTATTGTCCACCTTGAAAACCGGATATATCCCACCATGACATTATTTACTTATACATTTCAGATTTTAATTTGTAATAATTAAGCTTTGTAAAAACAAAACATCAAAAGTCCCGTTCATGCGCCCCGGAGGATACATGATTCCATCTCCGTGGCCATGTGTTCTTGGGTAAGACAAGATTGCCATGACTTGGTTGATTGAAAAGTAGCTTGCGAGCCGAAGTGTGGGCACCCCTGCTCTACAGGACTCAACTGTCAAGCTCCGGAAGTTCTCAGAGGACACAACAGTCATCGGCCACATTAGGGACGGAGGTGAGTCTGCGTACAGACAAGGAGGGTGACCAGACAGTGGACTTCAAGAAGAGCCCCCTAACACTGCCCCCCCACACAATACTCAGAGGCCCAGCGGAGGTTTTACCTTAGGAAGTTTAACTCCCCTCATCAGCATGAGCTGCTGGTCTTGTTCTACTCCAATATCATCCAGTGTGTTCTCTGTTTTTTTTATCACGGTGTGGTTTGGATCAGACACTAAACAGAACCGGAACAGACTACAACAAAATATCAGGTCTGCAAAGAGAACCATTGGCTCCAGCCTGCCCTCCATTCTGGACCTGTACACCTCCAGAGTCAGGAAACGGCCAGGAAAGATCACTGCAGACACACACTGGAACAACCTGTTCAAACCCCCCCCCCCCCTCGAGTAGAGAGAGCAGAGCACTGTACACCAAAACCACCAGACACAGGAACAGCTTTTTCCCACAAGCCGTTATAACCAATTTTACTGTTGTTGTTGTTGTTGTACATGTTTCAGATAGGCTCTTGTATATACGCACATGTATGTACAGTATGCATATCTACATATATATACAGTATGCATATCTACATATATATACAAATATATCACATATACACATATACGTATGTACTGTATATATTTTATATTTATCTATGTTTTTTTTTATTGTTCATTTGTATAAAGAACTGTATGTACAATATGGAGAGGAACGGATAAATTGGAGTCAAATTCCATGTATGCAAAAGCATACATGCATAAACATAATAGACTGCAGGGGTGTGAACATATAAAGCTGATTTTGCCCCTATATGTTCACACCCCTGCAGGCAATTTAGTCACCAATTAAATTAACGATCATTAATAATCTTAGATTACTTGGAACGTTGGACTGTGCGAGGACGCCCGGTACAGACTCCACACAGAAAGGCCACTGGGTGGAGTCAAACCGAGGAACTGGCTGTCAGTGACTACCAACTATCGACAACTTACCTCAAGCTGAGAGACAGTGCTAACCACCACACTAATAATTAGCCAAGTATACTTCCTGGCAACATGCATCTTACGCTTTGGTATTTCATGTAGAGGGGATACACAGTACTATATGAAATACATGGTAACATGACCACTTCACATGCATATCTATCCATTGATACTTTTGTGTCACATCTTAATCAGTGAACAAACCAGTTTTGCTGTGATATGAGTATAGCATAGTAAAATTATATAAAGCAGTGCTCATTTGTAATGGTTTACTTTTACTTAAGAACTGTACATTGTTACTTTTCACCAATGGCTTTGCAATGACAAACACTCACCTGTATAAAATGTTTCTTTCCAGCTGTGGTTGACTTTTGTAGGTTATGGGATCAATGTCCACCCTCCTTACTCCAAAATGGAGTAAACGTCTGAATTGAGCTTCCAAGCCCTCAAGAGAATGCCAGTTAGTTATAAGGAGTATCACCTTGTAATCCCTGTTTCTTCCATAATCACCCAGAACTATACAACGGCTAAATTGCTTTGTGTTATCATGCTGGTGCAGCGTTCAGAAGTTACTCTTTAAGCTAAAATGCCTCGTTGGCAGTCCACAGCTTTCCCTCGCCCTCTTATTCAACTGCTCTCTAGTTTCCTATCCACGTTCACGTCTGTCTGTCGTCTCCTGGGTGCTGAGTTACAGGTGCAGTGGTTGGCCCCTCCCTCTGACACACACAGACATTCACACACCGTTCACACAGCCATACTATGATTTGATTGAAATCACAATATGGAGTACAACATTACCAACCTTCCCTTTAAACCACCGACTCGAACCCAGACTTGGTCTTCTCTAAGCACCGAAGTCAGCCATGTTGTCTTCCCAGAGTGTGTATAAGAAGTGGACGTAGTCTTCGTGACCTCGGCCATTGGTTTGTGGATTGTCGTTTTGAAGATTCAAGTTTCTACGACATTGCCACGAGAGTGGCCATATTTGGGTGGCGGAGGTATCTATTAGACTCTAAATGGACTCTAATTTACTCAATGAACAAGATGATGTAATAACGAACAGTTAAATCTAGAGATCGAGACAATGAACAGCAGTAGCAGCGTTACAAGTTCATTCTTCTGTTGCCAAGTGCTTGCGTCACAGTTTCCTGATTTAAATTGCGTTTCTGTAGTAAGGTGTATTGCCCACACATCTACAAGTTATCTCAAGCATTTGTGAAGGAGACATGTATGAAATCAAACAGAAGCACCAGCTTATAATGAATGGTTGGAGTGACGCCTGTAACGTGTCTGCTGTGGGACACACACACTGTAATGTTATGTTAATGTGCCTCAGTGTGATAGAAGGTACTTCAGTACCTGGTAATAGGATACAAGAATGACCATGGCTGTTTGAATGGAGTATACATTCTTCTGTGTACTACCAAATCTATTATAATTTGTATCTTAGTATTTTATTAAACTACTTGGATCTTTTTGCTGTAGCACAGCGTAGCAACATTTCCTCTCTAAGTGTCACGATTGCAGGGAAGGCAGGACTCAAATGCAGAGTTTAAGGAAACAAGAAATACTTTAATAGTCAAAATCCAAAAGCAAAAAGGACAAGGGGCAAAAACGCGCACACGGGAACCAGGAACACTCAGACAAGGACCTCCGGACATGGACCAATGACGCGACAAGGGACAAGAGACACACATGACTTAAATACACTGGGAAGGTGCAGGCGATTGGATACAGGTGGAAACAATCAGACAATCATAGGGGATGACAAACCCCAGCCACTATAGTTAGACCTAAAGACAAAACCTTCTGAAAAAAGCTTTACTTTCTTATAAGGACAAAGTCATTTACTAGTGTTGCTTTTCAAAGTAGCTAATTGCTATATTTACCCTAGTTATTTGCATGGTTGCACAGCAATAAACAGAAACTGTCATGGAGATAATCCTGATTCCTGTCTCCCTAGACTTTTATGAAATCATTATCTTCATATATTACTTTATTTATCAAACAATTCAAAGGCTTCAGGCAAAACACATGTTTTTGGATTTACATTGATCACCTGTTGGTAAATGGACTATAGGGGCAGCTGAACAACCTGTGCAGTATTCATATCTGCTTTGGGAAGTAGAACAGAAGCTAATAAGCAACCAGTTGAGAACATCCTTGAAATAAAGCATTCTCCAGCTCATTACCCTAATGTTAACCATTACAACTGTGCCTGATCTCAAACTTAACCCCTTATCCTAACCAAACTCCACATATGTTCTCAAACAGGGCCCAAAGTGAGGACTGGCCAAAATGTCCTCACTTTTACAGAGTCCTCCATCTGAAGGTCTAAACCTCCCACTGGTCGTCACAAAGATAGCTATGTAAGTACACATGGAAACAAGATTGAAATCCCGCTTTTTAGCGGTACCTTGAAACAGGCAGAGGTTCAACGTGCACGTCACTCCTCAATCAAAATGGAACTTTTCATTAATTTCATTCAGTGAGGGCTATGTGTGAGATGTGGCGACTCTGTAATATTACAACGATTTGTGGATGGTAATGTGTTCAACCTTATAGAGCAAGATCAAATTCCATAAATCCCTGGATGTCGTGATTTGTCAGTTTCTGATCCAGTTTTGTGAAGCAATACCTAAATTTTAAACTAAAAGTCAGGATATCCCAGCAGAACACTGATTATATTAGAATAATCTTTAAACTAAGTGCATTTAATTATGTTCTCACACTAAACATCCATTGGATGTGAAACTGACAAGGAAGCTTGTCACCACTGCGTCATGCAAAGTGGGAACAATAGCCCTCCTGTGATTATAATTGCCCAATCACCATCTTTTTGACCTAGTTCCCTGTGGGAGCCATTGGACTTTATCTTTATGAGATATAGTTACTTGCTCTTTGCTGCCTTGTCTTTGATTTCCTGTATCAGGCCAGTAGTACTTTGATAACATCTGGAGTGTTTTTTTAAAAGGGGATACTATTCAAAATTGTGACAAACTGACTTACCAGTGTGTGAGTTACAGTTTGGTGACCTGTATTTGAGCTGTAAATTACAAAAACCACAATATTTAAAGTTTTATTCAAATCAGCCTCCTATGGGGTAGAACACACAAGCATGTTGAAAGAGATTTCCAAAAAAGACGACTTCAATGGACTGATGGTGAGAAAGAAATAGAGTGAAGTTCGTCCCTCTTATGACCAGCTGCGGTCCCTAGGCGTTGAGTGCACATGACTTGGTCGTGCATTGACCTCTAGTGGTGCATGTCGTAAAGTGCATCTGTACACCAGCACCACCACCTGCTGGAGGAAATATTATGGATGCAGTGGGAAGAGCATGCATGCCTACTTCCACATCATAATGGAGCATGTGATTATGTTAAGGGTCTCTTGTATTGATCATGTTAAATAGAATGATCACAAACTTAACAAAATGTATAGGTTTTTAAAAAACAGAAGAAAGAAACCAGATGAGTACGTTACGTTAAATGTGTACGGCATTTATCAGCTAAAGACACAGACACGAATTTAACATTGACACACAGAACTAAAAAGACAAATAATTTGTCTTACATGCATGATGGGTCAAATAAATAGGACTTCTAATCAAGTATTTAGAGTAATCATTTTTCTCACAGTTTGCAAGATACACAAGGACACAGAGGACGTTATGAGGTATTGTATTCATTGGTTCTCACGGGTAGATTGGCCCTGCAATAATTTCACTGAAATAAAGTCACACAGAGTGATTGTTACGTTTCAAAAAACGTATGGAGAGAAGATTTATTGCTTCGTGCCAAAATGAAGTAAATTTCAACAGATGTGAGAACCATCATGGTCTTTGGCAGATTGAATTTCTTCTGCTGCCTCAGGAAGAATAACCCATAAGGGGCCTTCTTGGTGATGGAGCCAATGTTCAGTCCCCATTTGAGGTCTTGGGTAATGATGGAGCCCAGGAAACGGTAGGAATCCAGAGCGGTGACAGGGGAGTCACACAGGGTGATGGGGCCTGGTGGGCTTGCGTTCTTACTAAAATCCACTACCACCGTGTTCAGAGTGTTGAGCTCCAGGTTGTTTTGAATGCACCACGTCACCAGATGGTCAGATTCCCACCTGTAGGCGGACTCGTCCCAACTGGAGATGAGTCCAATGAGGGTGGTGTCATACTCAAACCTCAGGAGCTTGACGAGCTGGTGGCTGGAGGTGCAGCTGTGGGTGTACAGGGAGAAGAGCAGAGGGGAAAGGACGCAGCCTTGGGGGAACCGGAGCTGATGGACCGAGGTACTGAGACGTGTTTCCCCAACCTCAGGTGTTGCTTCCTGTCAGACAAGTCTATGATGCGCTTCCAGGTGTAGTGGAGTACGGGCAGCTGAGCGAGTTGGTCCTGCAGCGGAGTCGGGATGATTGTAATGAATGCAGAGCTGAAGTCCACAAACAGGATCCTAGGGTAGGTTCGGACCATCTGGAGGATAAAGTGTAGGTCCATGTTGACAGCATCGTCTACAGACCTGTTGGCTGTGTTGGCAAACTGTATGGGGTCCAGGAGGGGGTCGGTGAGGGTTTTTAGGTGGGACAGGACTAGCTGTTCAAAAGACTCCAGAGGTCAGGGCGCCGGGCCTGTAGTCATTATGTCTTGTGATCCTGGGCTTTTTGGGGACAGGGTGATGGTGTAGGTCTTGAAGCAGTTTGGTATGTGGCATGTCTCCAGGGAGGTCTTGTGAACACCAGAGACAGCTGATCAGCACAATGCTTTAAGGTAGGGAGGTAGACAGATTCCGGGCCAGCTGCTATGCAGGGGTTTTGTTTTTTAAAGAGCATGTTATGTCTCTCTCCAGAATAGAGAGGGTTGTTACTGGGGACGGGGATGGGGAAGGTGTTGGGGAGGGTGATACAAAGGCACGAGCCCCTGATGGTCTGATCGGTTGGTGGAGCTGTGGGGGATGGACTCAGTACTGTCCCGCTATCAAATCTACAGTAGAACTCATTCAACCTGTCATCCAGGTGTGGGTCATTCATGAGTTTTAGGCTTATATATGGTGGCCCTGAAGTGCAAAACGGCAAATAGGAACGCACAGCGCAAATAGGAAAGCACACCGGCAAATAGGAAAACACAACAAAATTAACTCCTTACGGAAAGGGTAGGGCCTTATAGCAGAGGACGGACCCTTCTGATTGGACAGACAGACTGTCTGTCTTTTAACAGGAAATGATACAGGACTCTCAAGTGTCCCGCACTGAGCGAGATAGTCACGCACTCCCGCGACACATCCAATTCCTCACGCCAAGTAATCGGACTCCGGTCCCCGAACCGTGTCAGCCATAGCGTCCGCGGTACGCCTCCCCTTCTATTTACTTTTATTTACAACACCTAAATATAATTAAACAACAAAACACCGGTAAAACAATGGTGAAACACTAGTAGCACACTTTTAAGAAACTCGTAAAACATCGCCATCTCTCCGTGACTTTCTGCTGCGGCTCTCCTGCTGCGCTCACTTCCACCCCTCATCACAGCCTCTCCCGCCACTGATTTATTGATTGCCATATTATCTAGGAAGCGGCATTTCTCAGATTTCAGAATCCGATTTTCCTAAGAGTAAAGGCTGGCGCATGCTTCTGCGTCGTTGCGTCAACGTACTCGTTTCAATTCATGGTTCTGA